TGCTGCCGTTATGTTATTTTTATGGAGTAGGATAATCAGTAATCACATATATTGAATTTTTTCTGTAGAAAATCGGCATTCCTAAGTTGAATCCTAACTTCACACATCTGTTCATTGTGTTTGACCATTTTACCTAACCAACGTATTGGAAATATCGAAGTCAAATCGAAATGCACTCAGCGGCATTGTGCACATCCATGAAGTAGGCAATGAGCCACACACACACACTCTGAAGACGAATGATACCATCTGTTTGGTGCCCAAACCTCGCTAAGTAGAACGCTGTTCACAGCCCTGACCCATTTTTTGAAAAATCATTTCCTTAAACTGATGAGGTACAGCCCCAGTGGAAGGGTACCGTAAAAAAAACCACTGAATTACCAAAGGTCGAACTCATTTATGGGAAATTCGGCGAAAACATTCAGTGACTGAAATGAAACTGACATCTAACCAGTAGTCCACTAGTGTCTATCAGTCAGGCAGTATCTGATTTACCCAGATTGTGAGTAGGAAAAACAATGGTCCTACAATCTTAGTATTAAAAGTTCTTTATTAAATAAACAATAATGAGAGTGAATATTAAAAATTCTATGACACCTATTTAAAAAAAGTACATCTAAATGGTTTCGTATTCTTTTCAGGTCAAACAAGCCACTTTAAGAGCCATCCTAGCAACTGCTGAGATAACTAATTTCATTCCTCTCTTTTATGAAAAACTATCTTTCCAGCCATAATTGTAAACCCGATTAGTTATTTCTGCAGTTGCTAGAATGGCTCTTTAGTGTCACTCGTTTAAACAGGTTCGAAATTATGAAGTAGTTCAAAACGCGTTACTAATATTAGTTATTATGTCACTGAAAGGAAAGAAAAGCACTTTAGAGTCACAAAATTTATGTAAAGTAAGAAATCTTGTCTTACTCGTGTCATAGTTATCTTGTAACAAAATGAAAAGTTGTATCAGTGTCAGAAGAAAGCTGAAGTTTTGTTGAAGTAAAGGCAAGCTAACTACAGACCTGAAAGTCACCTACAGCCTAGTTCTTGACATCTAGGGTCCAAGTAATACTTTAGTCTGAATATATTTGAAATCATGACATTCACTTTAGGCCTATTTACTTTAATTACCATTATTGCGTCTAAATGCAAAACATAAGCCAAATCATCTTAAATTAGCTTGAGATTGAGTTACGTGATATCACGGTCCTGGAGAGCCATGAAACGCCAATCGAATGTTTTAGGTTCTCCTGTACAGAAAATTTTGTCAAGAGAAATTTTAGAAAAAGAAACTACAAACTAGTTATTTTCACGTTTGACGAGAAAAAAACTGTTTGCAAGCCTCCAGTTTAAGGGAGATAATCCTGCCAATATTCTGATTATAAGGCCACAGCAATCCCCGAGAAAGACATTATTAACAGCAACTGTGATGTTAACTTTTACAACCTAAAGTATTTTACTCCATGAATGAAAGCCAGGATTTTTCATACATCCATATCAGTGTGCATGTATATATTCAACCGCTTCTTTGGTATAAGTTATGTGAGATAAACTATAAAGTGACTGTCAAGTGTGATAAGGATCATCTACCTATCTGGCTGACGGGAAGGACTCTTACTAGTTCTATACAATGATATCTAATCAACACCGGTTATATTGTAGGCAAAACAGTCAACTTTCGAGTAATTTGCAAAATATTTAACAATCTATCACAAGCTATACGACTTCATTTTCTGCAACCTCATGCATCTATTGTTGTGGAAATACTGAAACTAGAATTGTGTATGCAAAAGAGACTAAAACATTTGATTGTTCTTTTGTGACTCTATGGGAACCTGGATATCATATAACTCAGTCTCGAATTCACTTATCATCATTTAATTTATATTAAATGATGAATTCTTGTGTTTCTTTGTTTTTGGTTCGGTGTTTATTGCTGCCGTGTAGAATATTTTCATGTTAACTTCAGTCTGCCTACTGATTTATTTGGTTTGTATTCGTAAATTGGTACCATCTTTTTAGTACCTTAGATACATGTTATATCTCAGGAGTCTAATCTGTTTTCTGAAGCTATTAATCCAGTTGTCCAGTGACTTTCAACTTTTGTAAAATAATATGTTAAGTGATTTTTGATGACAATAAATAAGTCAATTCTACAAGGTATCTGCATCTCCAAAACTTTTGCAGCTACTAAACAGCTCTTTATTCCTCATGTGGAAGAAATATCTGTCCAATGCTCCCGGGCTTTCAATGGTTCTTCAACTGATATCAGTCCTTGATGAATATCACTTTAAAATTATGACATTTATAGGTTTGACCTAAGGCGACTTCATTGAAAAACGCATAGTCTCTTAAGTGGTTCATTTTATGAGCAATACAGTGTGTGTATTCCGTTTATTTTCAAATAACGCAACACACTGGTAAGGTATATATACTGTTAGTTTTTTTTCCTAAGATTTTATGAGAAACGTACAGAGTAAACTTCATTACACACTGGTTTCCTTGAAATAACACTTCTAGAAAAATAACTCCCTTTGCGAAATCGTATAGGATCAAGTTGAAGCAGTTTTCGTTAGTAAGTAATTCGGCTAGTTGTTGTTCAGTTTGTTTATTGTTTCTTCACAAAGCCAATAAACTTGTAGTGCAGTGAATACTTTTAGTATTTATTTAAGGTGACCGTAAGGGTATTAGCAACAACCAAAATAACTAATCAGGTTTCTTTATTTGGGCCAGAAAGTCAGATTTTCATAAGATAATGAAGTATAATCGATTATTTCATTTGTTATTAGTGTGTTCTTTTGAGTTACTTCTTGTTAACTCTTGCTTTAGGACTAGTCAGCATTAAACAATCATAGAAACACATATGTTTGGAGAGAAAAAGTCCAGGTTTTTCGGACAGTAGAATGGATGCAAGAGTAAAACCTGGGCACTTTGGTAGAGTTTAATTGGATAACAGATTTTCTATTTAATGTAGCACACTGTATTATTTAGTGGGTGACGTTTCGAGTAGAATTTTTTGCTTATATTCTTATCGAAGTAATCATATAACCTTCAAACTCCACTTAAATAGACCAATAGTTCTTCACCCTTGTATTCTAATGGTTGTATTCTTTATTCAAATATCTGCAATGTGTGATGAATCATCCCGTTAGATGTGTTAGGTGTTGATTTTATGAACAAACATTCTGTGGTCAATCTCTCCCTCCATCTAGTTAGATTGCATTTTAAATTTATCTCTCTGTCCCACTCTGAAATGTGATTGTGGGTCAGTGCATGCAGAGCTACAGGTAAGTTTGACGCTGAATTACTTATCTTAGAACAGGATTCTTCATTCTGTTTCGCTAAGTATGTACGCTCTGCTATTCTGACCGAGTCCTATCGGCTGCTTTTTTCTCACTATCATTACTTAGTGTTTGATAGATTGAGTTATTTTTCTTAACTGACTCTACTGGATATTTCGGCCTACAAAGTTTTTCTCTGAGTGAGTTTGCGGGTTTAAATGCCATCCTAATCCCAGCATTGGTAAGAATTCTAAGTAAAATTTACTACTTACCTTCTTTGTATGGTAACACCACAGAGGGTGTGAGGTACCTCTTAGGCATGTTGCAATCACCACTAACATTACCGCTCCTATTTTTCCAGCTTGTAAATATTTTAATCGATTCCGGGAAGCGGTCATTAAGTAGCAGTATCTCTTTGATGTGTTTCAGATCTTTATTTAAGTTTTCTGACTTAGTAGTCAAACTTCTAGCCCGGTTACTTAGATATTTTTTGAAGTCTACCTTCACAGAAGTAGGATTAGATGATATTAGATATATTAGATATTAGACATTATATGATATCGAGTTAATCAATTTGGAAAACTCGATATATTTTTAATTTAGCACAGTAAATGTGTCATCTACATACCGCCACAATACTTTCGGGGTGATTTGGAATGTTCCTAATATCATCTGTTCCTGACTGTCCACAGATATGTATTCTATAACCGAAGCTATTCTACTCGAAACCTCTTCCGGTAGATAATACTTTATCACTTTGTGCTATATCTAATAAACAATCTAATATGGAAGTAGGATGAAGTCTTGTCTCTATTCTAGAGTTCAGCAGTTATTGATGACAAATTAAATCAATTTAAAGGTTGAGTCACTAACATTTTGGAGTTACTTGTCGAAAACTACACATAAATCAACTCAATTAAAAAACTTTTTAAACTACTAAATTTTAAGAAAAATTAAAATCTGCAAAACTCAGTAAGTTCCTCACTTATTGCCTTCATAAAAACATACCACGACCTCACGAGTGACCTTTTTTCATAGGGAAATAATGAAACATTATTATGATTATTTATTGATGCATGTAATTTTCCGACATCATTCTGGAACGCACCGATTGACCTCTGTTGGCATTTAGGCTCATATATGGATACCTCGATATTGTCTGATCATTGATTATTTTGTAATTTGCCAGAAGTAGAATACAGGACAAGTGTTTCGTTCCAGAATGACAATAGGGAACTATCAACTATCAGCAAATAATAATAATGATCGATACTCATTGAACAAGAGATGGTTCTGGTGCCCCAGTGGCCTAGTGGAAAATGATTTAGCATGTGAAGCAATGGCTATTGGGTTAGAGTCTCAATGCAAACAACAACACTCACCGGCGTGCAGATATGTCATCTGGTGAGTCCAAAATAGGGAGAAATATGCATTCTGGATTCAACAGCCAGCCACTAACAAGTAAATTACAAACAATTACTGAAGTCCTAGTGGATAATTAGGCCTATGTGACTAACTTAGCTATTGACATTAACGAAAGAGTGCCTAATAGTAAAATATGATATTTTTGCATGTAGCAGTTCGACGTGAGTTTTCAGTGTCAGATGCTGGAGCACAGTAAGTCGGCTGAATCTTAAATTGAAAGCTGTTAAATCTGAAGGTACAGACCGGCAAGTGAAAACATTATGCGCAATTTTATTCAGTTTTTATCACAAACGAGTTACCTACTCTTTTCTGTGTGATGAGGAAGCACGGTATGTACCTTCGTATGATTTTTGCTGTTTGGATAAGTAATATTTAATTTCTTTTTCAATCGCCTTACGACAACCTGAGCATTCAATGAAATTAAGATCCATTTCTAAATGATCTGTACTTGACTTCGTATGCTTTTTATTCGGATAATAATGTGGAATTTGTTGGTCTGGATGACGGGGTGGAAAATTATGTGAAGGGTAATTGGTAGTCTCATTGTTATGCCCTTGATCAGCGTCATCATTAATCTCACTTGTTGTAATGTCTGAATACTGATGAATGTATGCCTGTGAATACTTCGATCTTTCTCCTTCAGTTATCTGATATTTAACACTACATGGTGGTTGGAGTGGAGGCTGTTGCTCTTGTGGTGGTGTTGGTTGTGTAAAACGCTTAGATGAAGAAGAAGAACACCGATGATGGGATTTTGACGTTTGTGAACGAGGATGATTTGAGGGTACTTTTAAATTCAAATTCTCTACAGGTATTCCTTCATTGTATGTATCACCTTGAATGCCGAAATTCTCAGAGGTCATATTTGGAACTGTTGTAGATGATTTAGATGCCAAGCGATTGGAAATATTTGATTCCTTACCTAAAGAAAACAGTAAATATTATTGATAAGTTTTTGGTAAATTTGAGAACCAACCTATGTCAATTCACTTTTATTTTAAAGCTACTAAACCATAAATTCCTATAATTTAAGGCCTGATTATATGTTGAGTCAAGATTATGTCACTCATAAGTTCTAGATAATTTAGTGGATTCACACTATTGAGCCTTATAACTTATTTATCTGTCATGTTATTGAAGTGGGTATGAAAATGTAGACAATTTCCAAGAATTGGCTTACTGATCTAATGACCTATTAACTCAAAGAAATAAGGTTACAAACACAAAAATTGCTAACTCGTAGGTAACCGATGTAACTGTCTGATCCTCGGTGTTAAGCATTAATCTTAGTCAATCGATCAAATTTTACCATGTGGCCGCTAAGCGAAGTGATGTGACTGTGTATACTAGATAACTATATCGGGTACTGATTAATGACTGATTCGTTGGCATTACCCAGTCGTATAAAGGGTCAATCGTGGTCTGAGTAGCTCAGATGTTGAGTCTCTAACTTCATCACTAAGTGACAGGAGTCTGAATCGACGAGTGAACCTTAGTTTACTACTGGTTGAAGATACGCTGAGCTGAAGAGTATCAGCCAGCACGAAACCTCGATCAACGGCTTCCTGGCAGTTGACTCGTACTAACTTTTTAAATGTCAGTTCTTTTCATGTATTTTTTGAAGCAGGAATACAACGTCTTTTTAAACTGACTGTGATAATAGACTTTATATGTCAATGAGATGAAAATGTTAATCAGTGAACTTTTGTTATTCCACAATTCAGAATTCGTTTCTACTCCCTGACTGACATTGATGCGCAATGCTAAGGGGTCCCACACTCGGACAAAACAACTATTCAGTGCTGTCAGGTTTCTTATGTTCTTCCAAGTGATATCAGTTCATGATGAGTACTAACTTGAATAGACAAATGAAGATACTGATCAGCTTTCAGACTGTCTAGTTATAAACAATATACAAATCGGTAATTCAGAAATGGAGATATAAGCGAGTAGTGTTTTTTCAGCTGGATCCTCTTCAGAATATACTCTCTTATAAATACCTTGACATGTATATAAATTAAGCTAGTCATGTAGATTGGTTGATCAATGATAAATGCTTTAAAGTTTACAGACAGAAATAACGATGATGATAATTTCAAGAATAATAACGCTAGCCATCATAGTAATGACAGTGTAAAGCAGTCGTAATACAGATGACGATGATGTTAAGAACCAAGAAAACAAAATCAGAATGCTGACGCACATCATTAATATGGGTCATAAACTTGTAAAAATAAGTGTCGCGTATTGCTGAAGGGTGAAGCAAATGGATAAGCACATTTCAACTAAGTATAGTAAGTATACGATAGCAGTGAATAGTAAGAAAGTGGATAGAGGAATTCCGATAATAAAGCTGCTCACTAGGTTTTCTCCCATCTAGGCAGAGATAAAGGGTGAACAAACATTTTGCGAGTTTGCATCCCAAGATTATCAGCTCGAATTATCATAGCTTCAGTTGTTTGTAAACGAATAGTTCAAATACCTTTCGGAGGGTTGGATGGTATGCGATAGATAATTTTGAAAGCGTAACTCATATTTACTAAGTAAATGACTACCAGCCAGATGACATGAGATGGAGCTCTTTATAGATTTATCCGCTCCTTTCTCAGCCGTGAGTGTGGATATCCAGCAACAAGTCAGTCAAGTTTTCTAGTAGTAGGCTGTATACAGCTCCCCCACAGAAGCAACTAAAATTGTAAATAGACTGCGGAACAGCAAACCAGGTAACTTATCTTTCGCCTGAGCAACAACGACTGGTTGACAAGAGAGTTTTTGGCAGAGTTTCGCAGCGTAGGAAGTTTTCTAAATGGCACTAAATGGCCCGTGATACACAATTTTTCTGTCTACGTCTCCGCTGAATTGCAGTTTCATGAACAGTAGTTTCTTTGGAATGACAACAAATTCAAATTTACTTCTCCTTGCCTTATCTTTTTACCGATTTATGAAGTTGCTAGAGTAGTTCATTTTAATAACTGAGTCACTAATGCATTAAACTGTTGGAGCATATTCTTCTTGCTCTAATGCCAAGGCAACAGGTTAAGTTTACTTTGTGTCGAATGGGTACACGGCTAGGAAAATCTGTGTATTGATATACATATATGGCCTTCTGGTATATACATCTACTGAGTGAAGCGTCTTCTCGTCTAATGAGCAAGACGTCTAAGAAGTGAAGTTTGCTTGCGTTTTCTTCTTCATAAGGGGAAGCAAGTGGTAGGTGCACCTCATTAAATTTCTTAAACGCTTCGTTTCTATTCACGTCTCCATCCACGATAATTGATGTGAGGTCAGTGTACCTGTGATACTTATTCATTCTACCAAAGACATCTTTCATTGGTTGGTTCTCTAGTTCAGCGAGAAATATATCGGCTAAAATAGGGCTAAATGGTGAGCACATAGTTATCTCACCAGTCTGTCTATAATGTATTCTACTGAAAGCAAAATGTCCACTCATAGTACATCTAAGGAGCAACGTTGTGGAATATACCAGAATCTCGATATTGATATCCATTCCTCATAATTATCGACCCAAATTCTACTATCTCCAGTGATGGGGTATTTCTGAATAATGATGAGACATAAAGTCAATTCATACATTCCCCGTTCGAGTTTACTTAGTGTCGCTTAGAAATGAAATCAGAGATATCTTTCACACTATTTGTCTATTAATTCTTTGTGTGAGGTGTCTGAAATCCGTACTTGACAGGTTGCAACTCCGTACTATAGAGAGTTAGACGTATCTTAAGATCGTAATTATTTGAAGGGTTAACCAGTTCAACTAAAACATACGGCAGAGTTGGCCACCGCATAAACTGACTGCTTTTTATGAGAACAGTGACTGAGATTTCCACTGCAAACGGAAAAGACTCATCCCATGTTTGTATGTCACTGCTACTATCGATGAAATCAGTAAATCTGTATTAGTTATTCCCAGTGGAATAGCTAAGGACATCTGCTTTCAAGGTGTTAACTTACAAGGTTTTAGTGGGTGAATATTATAGTATCAGGTTTTCAAGAGTGGTCTGATGAGTGAAGGTCGCAAATAAATATCACCATGCTGCAACTCGTTGCAATTCTGGGTAGACAGAAATACTAAATTCTCATCAATGGGGCTGAACAAGTAACTATCTAACAGTTATTGTTGGTGAAAGAAGCAAAGTATCGTGGATCATCTTAATGATACTGAGGCTTAAAGATACTGGATTCAGTAGCGTGCAGTCAAAGTCAAAACACAGTTGTCTTCATCTATGTAAGTCCACTTGCGAAACAATACCCGATTTCAAATGATGAAATACATTAGAAATGGGGATTTATTTGTCGGATTTTATTTTTTCCATTGGATTTACCCTGTTTTCAGAAACGATGCTTAGAAGTAAGTAGTAATGTGAACTGATTTATTCATCATTTCGGCAGCGGTAACTTTTTATTGGCTGATGCATTCAGATAATATCCTTGTTAAAGTATCAGATAGAAGAGATGTAAACGTGTGCCTGGAAAGATGGCTAGACGACCCCTCTGTTCGGCAGTGCGCACTGCTGGGGAGTCCCATACTAGGACGAAACAGCTGTCCTATCCACCAGGTTTCCAATGTTTCTCTAACTGATGTCAATCCATGATGAGTAAGAATCTAAAATCAAAATATAAATCTCAACAAACCTCAAAATTTAAATAAATATTCAACCAGTTGTCCAGATTTATGCTTTCTGAGTAGTTCAGCTCTTTGAAGTAAGTTTCTTCATGTACATGACTAATATGCTTAGCTACAAACTAAGACAACAATTGTCAGGCGAATCGAATCTCACTGAAGAACTCTTGTACAACAACATTTACTCATTTCGCTTATTGCCATACTATAAGCTAATTTCACTATGATTTGTTAACATCTGCTACGTAAACAAATTCCTGTGAAATTCGGTTCCACATTTTTGTTTTGAGAGGCTACACTTTTCATCCTTATTATAATACTGTTGAAATTTCGCCAGTAACTTACTAATATTTCTCTCCGGGTGATTGCCTGAACCAGGCCATGACATATCCATGACCTGAGCACCACTCCTAGCATCATATAAGGTTCTCGACTTTTGCAGAGCCTGTTTTGTATCATCATAATGCTCTGGGTTGCACAGTCGGATATTACTGCTATTAGTTTTATGTCTATACACTGGTGTACGTCCAGTCAAAGGTTGACCGTCAGAAAAGTTATTCGACACTGAATTTGAACTGAGACTGTTTGATATTGAATCAAATGATCTACTGAAATTGCTTGATGCCACCGCCTTTGAGAAAAATAAAAGATAAACATGATTAAAATGGAATTAGCAAGTAGATTTTGCGCATGAGTACGCTAAAATGTTAGTCCCCTTATCCTAATAAAGTGGAAAGTGACTATATTCTAACTGTCTTTATTTTTTTGTGAAACCTTTCTGACATTTACACGTAAAGAGAATGATAAGAGTCTTTAATCTTTTCAGCTTTTTTTCTGTCTCTCAATGACATAAAGATCTTTCGGCCTTCTGATCAGTATGTTACTTTTAAGTTAGAAGTAAATCAAATCACTATGTTAACATTCCATCATATGGTTAGTCATGAAAGAAGATATTAGCTCCGAAATGTCTCAAGTGTTTCATGAGGATAAAATCCTTAAACATTTACGATTGTAAATGTTACGTGACATTATCCCAAGAAATGTTGAATACTTGAATTGTATTTCCCCTATGTTGTAAAAATCCTTCCAGAAATTTGTAGCAGAAAACTATCATGACTTTGTCTTTTCACTAAAAAGATATCAGCATCTAACTGTATAAAGTTGTCCCCTAAAAGCATTACTATGGAAAGCAAACGTTCCACTTAGTTTTTTGGGATCTTCTACAGTTTGTTAGATCAGCACAAAATCACTGCCAATAAAACTGGCTTCTAATTAGGCTCATATAGAGGAAAACGATATACACCACAAGTTGTTTACTCCTACTAACACAGATAAACCCTGAGACCTAGTTAGGCAGTTTACAAACTAAGCTGAATAAATGCTACTTGTACAGTTACCATGGAGTTTGGTAGCTGACCAGAGGAGATCGCGCCTTAGTATTGTTCAAACTTCGTCTAAGCTTTTTATCTATAGGTCTTGCCATAGGAGATAAGCATTCCAATGATAAGCTTATCCCCTCAACTCTTTTCAAATAAGTAATTTATTTTGATTATCTAAACTAAAATCTGTTAACTAGCAATTATTACTGAGAAAAAGATGTCAGTACACTTATATACATCACATTAAGAGGATTATGCATTGAGTAACAGTTTATTTTTTTCTACATTCGCAATAAACTAGGTTGTCCTCATGACGATTATATCTATGGCTGCTACTCCTTCTTACCATCATGTATTATTTACACACTAACATCGACACAACCATAAACAGTAAGAAAGTAGATGATCAGTGCAAATAGCTTTCTGTTTTCCGGAAATATTCTTCAGGTTGTCGAGATTATTGTTATTATCACTGAAGTATGTCTATCTGTTTCATTTTGCTTATTAATAAGATTGTTGCTTTATTCATCCCTTCCCGCTCCTTTTTGGCTGTTATTTGCTGTGTCTGTGTTTTCATCTCCCTTTCCATCACCGCTTTTAAGCATATTTCACTATCCAGCATTAATTAGACTGTATTCTGATTCTCATCTTATCGGAATAGAGAAAATATTGTTTATTTTTGCTTGTCTTATTGACTTATTTTATGATTATGTTTTGAATTATTACTTGTGTTATCTGTGTGTCAAAAATGAACTTGCTTCACATTTAACTGAAAACAGTTTCTGTAATTGAAGTGATGAAGGAGGTGATCACATCCCCAGTCATCTTACTAGCACTTATCAGTAAAAACTGTTCGTCTAAAGCATAGTATTTATAAAGAAGCATTGAACAATATAAAGTTGCATCAAACGTGTTTGAGTGCAACAAATCAAGGTTGACAAATACCATCTTCAGTAAGCTGATAAATGGAATATACGCATCATATCACATACAAAAATGAAATTCAATCCAATTTGTATCTTCGTTAAAATTCTCATCAAATCTCAACTGTAATCATTTTAAATACTATTCATATGAACTATGATCATGATTGGACCAAATAATATTAGAAATATTGGACGCTGAATGAAGGGTTAACATTAGATGTAGTTTGTATTTCTGTGAGTCACAGGGTGTTTACAAAGAAATACTTCCATCGTTTTGCATGGAAGTCTGATCAGAGCTTATTCAGAGAAAAAGCTCTGCATGATAACATTTGAATTAACAATAGACATGCAATTTAAGAAGGTTCATTTTCACTAGTCTGCAAAGTGCAACGTCATCTTTTAAAAGGTTTGAGAAAACCTTTACGTCGAATTGCTGAAGCCTTGGCAATGCAACAGTTCAAACCGGAGTTGTGTATCCAGAAGCGAATTTGCAATTTTCTGTCCATATTCACTTCTTAATTTTTAAACTCTCCAGTCCATATCTCTTACGTAATTTCCATTCCTATGTTATTCTTATGGCCATAAACTACTAACAAATATTGATTAACAAATAGTAACATTTTTATGTACATTAATTACATTTAAATGCTTTTGTACAGTTGTAGAAGATGAATTCGCAGAAAAAAATCTGTTTACTGAAGTCTTCTTTCTTTTATGACTCAACGGGAACATTTAAATAACTGGTGATATTTCTAAAACTAAATGATCACTGAACTTCGGCCAATATAAAAACATTGGTAGCCCATTTCTTTATCCCTCTTATGATCTATTTATACACTAATTGCAGTTCTACAGCAGCCTCTCGTTACTGTAAAAGTCTAACCACAAATCCTACAAATTCAAATCTGTGGGAAGTTTTGAATTTTTGAGGTGGTCTTAATCCTCCTGAGGTTGCTGAATGACCTTACTGGTGAGTAATAGCAACTACAAAAATGAGAATGCTTGCTTCTAGTCATTTAAAAACCCTATTATCAAATGCAGTGGACTGTTATTCTTACCAATGAAGCAGTAAAACTGATTGATACACTTTGATGAAAATAAATCCGTGACCATTTAGTGACGACTTCATATTTATGAACGGTTAAATGATCAGTGAGGAAACCGATAGATTTATGATTAATTTATAAGAATAATTAACTCGATAAATACTTCAGTAAATACTGAACAATTTAATCAGCATAGGCGAGTGACTTTAAATACCATCTTATTTCTCCATTTTATGAAAATCTGCCTTATCAACCGAACCGAAGAAACCTAATTAGTCATTTTGATCAGCGTTAGGGTGGCATTTAGTGTCGCTTACATAGGCACCAATAAAAGAGTAACTCTAAAGAGCACTCCAGCAACCACTGAAATAATTAATCAGGTTTCTTGATCCTGTCTTGAAAAGTAGTTTTTTTTAGATAGGTAAACCTGAATGACCATTTAAGTAGTTGTTAGGGTGGCCTTTAGAGTTGCTCAAATAAAAGATACTGAAAAGGATTGCAGACTGTTATCCTCTTGCGTTGGATAAATAAGTCTCCACAAATGTATGTTGAACCTGTAAGCATTTGTGTAACTGACCTTGACAGATGTTTCTAGTTTACAGGGTCACGCAAAATTTAGGTGGAAATACTTGCAAATCCACTTCACTCCGGCTTCGACAAATGACTAGTACTAAGTCCTCACACAATAAATATGCCTTATGTACCAGTTTTACTTCCAGTGAGTGTCTTTAAAGGCCACCTCAACAACTACCTTGATAACCAATTACGGTTCTATATTTTATGAAAAGTTATTTTCCAGCAGAAATACCGCGAAATATTCGGTCATTTCAGGAGTTGCTAGGGTGGCCTTTAAAGACACTCTGATCTTTGCTTGACTCTAAAAGGCATGACCAAACCAACGACTGAGATATTCAGTGGTTATCGGTATTATGGTAAAAGTTTCTCCTTTGGGTAATCATATAATAGGTCTGATAAAGTAGCATACGATGATTTTTGGAGTGAATAAATATCACCTTTATAACCAATCGAAGCACTATATTTTACGAGAAAATGCTCTTCAAGCTGAATAAAGGAACTCAACTGGTTATTTCAGACGTTGCTAGGGTGGTGTCGTCAGAGCTACTATAAAGTTAGAGTGGTGTAATCATATTAGTAACTCGCAGTGGAATTCAGAATGAGCGTTTCATCCTATTCGGGACTCATTGGCTGGACCCTAGTGAGTGCTACTGTCCCCACTGAAGCACGAACCCATCAGCCATAGCTTCAAACCCCTAATCACTGTCCACCAGGCCACTTAGGCATGACAGGCACCACTTGTGCAACGCTTATCATTTGTTGTTGTTTGATAGTTGTGATTTTCCTCATGGGAGCCCATCTACCAACAGTGGTTGAGCAACTCGACCTTGTATAGCAAAAGGGAAACTACAAGTACCAGACTTTAAAGGTCACCCTGGCGATGGTTGAAATAACCAATTGGGCTTTCTCGTCTTGATTAGAAAGGTACATTTTCATAAAAAAAGAAATCAAATTAGTTATTTCAGTCGCTGGTGAAGTGGTGCCTTTAGATTCGCTCGACTTTAACAACCGCCCTAACACTAGTGAAATGACCAGTTCTATTTGTCTAGCCTAAGGTGGAAATCTCAATTTTAGTACAAGTGATGGAACTTATTTTGTTAGTATGGCATTCAAAGCCACTCTACTTAGAATGCCAAATCTAGTCACAATTATGATTATTACGCTTGTAAAAGTAGTGGTCTGCTTTAGGAGTTTCGAAGTCCCCTAGATGTCAAACACAAAGCATAATTGTATTGAAATAATTTAGTGGTCATTTGACATGACTTTATTTGAGGATTTCAGCCTACAATGAAATTCACATTAGCATCTCAGTTGACCTTTCGTAAATATATGTATTCTGATGATTCCGAAAGACGAGAACATGTAATAAATTGACAATCTTCTGCTGAAAATAAAAAAAAAGCTTTTAGATAGGCTGATCAAATTGAGCAATAAGTGAAATGCCACATGGAAATTTTGTACCTAATGGTCTTTTCTATGAATATGGAGCATGTGACTGATTACTTTTTATTGAGCCAGTTAACGAATTCCGAATTATTGTTGTGATCCACACTGAAAAGAAATTTGTGAGCATTATTCGAATTGAAAAGATGAAATGCTTTTGGTTGGCGAATTCAATGTTGTATGGTAAGAGAACCTGAAATCTGGTTAACCATTATATTATGCAGAGTATCTTACTGTTTAGTATTATTGCTTGTATTATACCGTCGTTGACTGGACACAATTCATCGGTCTCCACTGATATATGTGCTCCTGTGTTGATACCTCGATATTACCTGTGTTCTAATTATAGTAAAGATGGGTAGCGGCTAGCAGTGGAATCCAGGATGCGCATTCCGTCCTACTTGGGATTCGTCAGCTGGATGTACCTGCCCCCCAAAACACAGGTAGTATCCAGGCATCCACACAGGAGCTCATATGCCAATAGAGGCCGATGAATTATGTTCAGTCAACGATGATATAATAAAGGCAATAATACTAAAACTGTACTCGTCACACTAGAAGTGGCTATCATGGCTCGGTGGTCTAGTGGATAACGCTCTGGCATTTGAAGCGATCGCTCCCGAGCCCAAATCCCCGGTGGGAACAACATAACTCACTGGAAGGCAGGTACATCCAGCTGACGAATCCCAAATAGGACGGAATTCGCATCCTGGATTCTAGTACTAGCCATTATCCACCTTTACTATCTTACTGTTTATTTGAAGGGCGTGTGTTATCGTACGACGATGGAATCTTTTAATTTCCAGCTGTTTATGAAACACGAAAAACCTCCAACTTCAAGAAAAATTAAAGTCAAATTTCAATCAGGTTTTAAAGCCACATCATTGTGATAACTTTCCAGTATTCCTTACCTTCTTAAGTGTACATTTTCTATGTACGGAAGGCTGGTCCACTTGTTCTCTTTGTTTATTGAATACTTCCGTTAGTACTTTGCCTGTTACTTGTTCGCTATGCATAACACCAACACCACCAGATGAAGAAGAAGCAGGAATTATTGAAGGATTATTAGCTGACGATGAAAAATTAGATTTACGTGCAATATGTAAAATAACTTTATCAGGAAAATGTTGTAGCATACGCATTGCTTGTGTAAGGGTATGACCATTATGCAAAGTGATACCATTTATAGCCAATATACGATCACCAGGTTGGATTAAACCACATTCACCCCCAGGATCATTTGGATTGACTGAATCAATTAACACTGGAATATCAGGTGCATCGTCCGTTCCAGAGATTGTGATCCCCCAAGGACAATCAGGTGATTTACGCTTTAATATCACCTGAACAAGATTCGTTTCAGGTTCTAAAAAAGTGTCAGTAATTAAAATAAATTAGTTTTTAGTTTATCATTAACCAAATAAGGAATAATAGTAAGTCTGGAAGTAAATGTCTTTCTCTCACTTCTAATATATGTCGATTCAAGTTCAACATACGGCACATTGATAGTGACATATAAATACTGAAGCTTTCACAGCACCCATTTTGCTGTAAACTGACAGCTTAACTGATCAATACATCATCAACCTGTTGGATGGTCGGAGGCAATTGGCAGGAAGCCCTGTTTGACCTAGGTTTCATGCTTGTTGGCACTGGTAAGCAAGGCATATTTGCAACCTCGTGGCAATTGATTTCCTGTGTGGGATTCGAACCCACATCAACCAGTGTTGCATTGAGTAACGTTACCAATGAGCTATTAGAGCCATTAGTGACCTCCTGAAGGACTGGGTTATATAGATTGATTAATCACTGGAGAGCAACCAATCTAATGTTGTTCAGTCCTGAGTGCTGACCGGATTCTACCATTCATTTTGCAATATGGCCATTAAACTAGGAGGGTCGCCATCACGGTTTAATTTGATGGATGCTAGCTGGTTATATGCAAAATGATCGATAGAATTCGGTCAGTATTCAGAACTAGACAACATGAAATTGGCTGCTCTCCAGGGATCGATCAATGTATCATCAACATGTCCTAGTAAATGTATATTTATTTTAACACGGACTGCATGATAAGTCGATGTTAGTTAGATAATCTTTGAAAATGAGAAGAATAAACAATAAATGTTTGAACTCATTTCAGGTAACCTTAACCACGGATTTCTTTGAGATCGAAAATACGAACTAAAGCCTGAAAACAACATCTATATTGGATTAATTTCTAATCCAGATTCACTGCTTGGAAGATTTGTTATGCTATGTTGTTTACCATGGTTTCAATAGATGGATTAGTTTAGAATCTGTGATCTGAAGGTAAGTAGCTGTTGTTTCACAGCTCGGTGGCTGATCTTAGTTCAACTCTATGAAATATCCGAAAAAACCTATTTGATAAGAGGAAAATAAATAAGACGACTGCAGAGAAGACAGATGTGCTTAATTTGTTGCTGATTTAATTCAGTTATCTATAACTTCGAAGAATGTTGGATGTATATGAGCTTGTAGCAGAAACGTTGGTGAAGTGAAAGAAAAGCGGATCATCTTGAATAACTGAACAGTTCACAAGTTAGCTAGCCAAAAGTCTATTAGTAATGGGTGTATAGCTCCTTCCTTAGACTGTTTTTCACTATTGTGTTAATATTTTCTGTAGCACTTTTCTTGGAGTCTCAGCACCCAGAATGAGATAATCTACAGGCAAAGGGATGAACTCAAGTATCAAAGTTGGTTTAACCCCTCTATGAACATCAGTAGAAAGCTGGAGTACGTTTACACAAAACATTTTTTATGTGTTTCTTCTTTAACCTTTTAAAATATCATTATGCATGTTCTATACCCTTAAAATTACTTTTACTTGTTCTTTTGACATCATTAGTTATTACTCAAGGTCATGTTACATCAACTGCCTTTGGTTGCTATTCTTCAACTTTCCAGAAATTCTTTCGGAATTTACTGGTCTTTAAAAATGCGTACTTTTTATGTTATTTGGTAATCTGTGTGCTACTCAGTTAAGTACCCAATGTACTTTAAATTTAGTCAGTGATTTATCGTTGAAATTTACTTGTTACAATTAAATCTGAATATTTGACAAAAGTAGGAAACTGTGATGTGATTTGACTGGTGTTGGTTAGCAGTGGAACCCATGACAGGGATTTCAGCTGGTATGGGTCTAATCAACTGTATGTGGCCCACCACAGTAAGTGATTTCGCTTCGAACGCCAAAGCGTTACCCATAAGCCAACAGAGATTTGTTATTTCGGTCCAACATAATATTTATTAGGAAGGCAAAGTTATGAGTAAATAACAACTGAAACTTGTTGTACGAGAAGTGTCTGTTGAGGCTAAGTAGCCTAGTGGATAACGCTGTATTGTTTGAAGTGACAGGAACCAGGTTCGGGTCTCCGTGGGAACACTACCACTCATTTGGAGGCGGGAACTTCTATTTCACAAGTCTCAGCTGCCAGCCACCGAAAATCAAATTGCTTCGAGATAATATCGTATTAATGGCGAATGCAGCGTCAAAAGCACTAACAAAAGGCATTATTTCTTTTGATCCGGATCCCTTGTATATGTATATGCTGATTATTTGGAAATAGTTAATAGATATTCATATTGCTGAAGGAATATTTACACACTTCCACAATGAAGGGAGTTTTCAAACAATCCCAGAAGCAAATCTTACTACCGAGGTACTAGGGCCTTCTTAGAGAACAGTAGTGTCAACCTAAGCAACGGAAGGAAACAGTTAGTGGAAACAAGTATCTTGATCAGTTCTACAAATCCAGCAGCTCACAGTATTGCGCCAGTCCATACAAGACTCATTTTGTATCCTCCACCAACTAGCTATATAGAAATTTCAAAACCATTTTTGTTGCTTAGGCTGAGAATCGTGCCTATCTATGTTATGAAGATGGAGAGGAGTGAGGGAAGTTATAAAGGGTTGGATTATTCACAGAAGTCGGTAACTTAGTGTTCTATTCAATACTGAAGTTTGACTTTTTTCTGTCAAGGCATACCGTCTTAACAGCAAGCTAATTAACACGTTATTATAATGATCAGACTATGCTGTTTCAAATAGGACTAGAGCATGAACTCAGGTTAACATCCTTTTTCAATGTTTAAATGGAGAAGTTACTTTCGCATTGAAGGATGAAGAGTACTCGCCAGAACTGTATTTAAGAATTTTAAAGGTTTCCATTATGTAACTTAGAACAAGACATATAGGCGAAGAATATTGTTTTCACTTAGATCCCCTTCCGGCTTTATTCTGATATAAATAGCTTAACATATATACAAATAAAATCAGTCACCTAGATCTGCCCCTCATTAGTAGGTGTTTTAAAATGTACAGATAGAAAACTGGTGATAATTTAAAAAAAAACAGTGTCACAATGAAGACAGTGTTGAATACTGCAGCCGTAAAACATATAATGATGATGACGATGTTAGGAACCAAAAAAAAATCAGAATGTGGATGTTCGCATAGTTAAAGGAGTGATTTTAAAAGATCAGCGCAACAGCTGCTGAGATATGTTTCTTTATTTTATCAAAAATCACATTCCGCGCTGGAATAACAAAACTTGATTGACTCTTTCAGCATTCTCTAGGGTGCTCCTTAAGTTCACTCAGGCTTATAATCTTATTAGATTGTATATTTGGTATGGCACGCAGTGAAATGGAAACATCATCTAGTAAATAATACCTGAATCATCATTACTCACGTAGTACGTAAAAGATGAGTTCGACTATCATTCGAAGGGTTGGATGAAATGTGATAGATAATCTTTAAAGCATTGCTCCTCTCTACTCAGTCACGACTTCCAATCAGATAAGATCAGATAGATATTTTTATGGATTTCATCCCTCTTTATTTCAACCATGAATTCAGATGTTCAACAAAACGTCTGTTAAGTTGCCTTGTAGTACGCTGAATGTAGTTGTCTTCACACCATCAGCTAAGCTGGTAAATACAGATAGAAAATTTAGGACTAGGTAACTTATATTTCATCTGCTCAACAGTGATTGGCTTAGAGGAAGATGATAAGCAAAGTTTCTCAGCGTAGAAAGTTCCTTTCATGGCTCTAAATATCCTATGATATAAAACTTCGCTGACTACATCTTCATTGAAACGCAGTTTCCTGTTTAGTTTAATTTTTTATGAATATATTTAGCTATTTATATTAAAGTCTAAAGAGTATTTTTATTGTAAGCGGTATTATCCGCTTAGATGTATTGCTCTGAAACTGCATTTCAAACTAAATCCTCATTCCTTAATACGACTTGTTTATTATTATGCAAAAACTGGTTAAGAGAAATTATATATTCTTTTAGAGTTTTCACCTTTTTTCACTCATCTCTCTATTACAGCTGCAAACTCTAGGTATTTTTCACTAACTAGTGACATCAGAATCACCAATAATATTACGAAAATAATCAATACAAACTTAGATATGGATTTTATGTCTGCTTGTCTGGCAAAAGTGACAATTTCAAACCTTCATTCCCCCTCCCCATCGATCCCCAATTGTTTGGTTTATGATCAGTGTACAACTATGAATGAATGTAAACCACCTTTATAACTGGTTGTTTTTTAAGAATTTAAGGAACAATTTAGTTTTACACTAAAACGATACAGGTATACAGATTATTGGTCGATGTAAACTTATTATCTTTTTTGTTCATTTGTAAAGTGTGCTTTTATGAATGAATAAGATGAGAAAAATACTTTATTTGGAGGTTTGTGGGGATTGATTAGCTTCTAGGTAGTATTCATCATCAACTGACATCAATTAGGGAACCACTGAAAACCTGTGAGCACTGGACAGGTTTTTGCCCTAGTATGGAACTTCTCAGAAGCACGCATTTAGAATCCTGCAGGTAACGAACCAAGATTTATTGTGATCATATCGGTATTTAGACGCTTGATAGAAAACCCACGATAGATATTTTCTTACTCGTTTTAGCTTAGGATATAGCGTGATCATCATAAACGAGTATCTTACCCCGTGTCTGACTTGTTCGAACATACAGGTCACACCTTACTGGAAGTACATTTCGAAGCAGGTGATCAATGAGCATTGGAACGTGAGTTTAGAGGATTGCTGGTGACAGACTAATTTCAAGAGGTCTTCGTAGTGGATCTATATGAGCTTCGAGATGGGTTTATCAAAGTTCGAGGAGGAAGTCGTGACCTCCAGGACCTAACAAGTCTAGTATGAGGAAGGTTACTCACTGTACTATATCATATACTGACAGGTTGCAAATGTGCATCAAGGGTTTCCGATCGCTTGGTGAAGTGGTATTAGGGTTCTGGATGCATATTACAGAGGACTCTCAAACTAGGACGAAACAACTCTCTGATTTTTTCAGGTTTCAAGTGGTTCCTTGACTGCTGTTGGTTCGGAATACAAACACCTTTAGATTAGTCATTTCTCCACAAACATTCTAGTTGAATAAAAATTCTGGTGGTTAAGTATGGAAGCAAGTCATCATGTGTAGAAAATGGACCAGAAAATGATAACCCTCAGCTCGCTGATTCAACTTACTGAATACTCATCTCGTAATTCATGAGTCTTATTATAGACATAAGTGAGAGTGGAAGTTTCATAGGCAACCGATACGGTGATAAAACAGCTATCAACAAATTTTCATTATTCACATGTTTTCTACCTACTTTCAATTTATGCTAAAAATCACATTGAAAATGTATTAATTCTCAATAACTAGACTACGGTAAAGGCAATTCATACTAAAAAAGCATGCAAACTAAATTCTAGCCATGATGTATATATATATTGTTTTGGGAGTCGCTCATGGTAAAGCATTGAAATCTATTGTCACTCATGAGGTGAAATGAAGGAAATTAGTCGTTTATATATTTCAATTAAAACTACTTAAAAATGGCATCATATGCACGTAATAATCAGCGCAGCATTACTTAAAATGTTCATGCTCTAAAATTCGATTCAGTGAGGTAACTGGAAACCTTTTAATCAAGTTGTTCATATCGACTTAACCACTTAGTTATATAAGGCACATACTTTGCTTTTTCTGTTTTATTGATGTATTCGGTCATTAGCTATATAAAGTTTTCAAGTTGAATCAGTAACTTAACAAACACTTGAAAACAGGAAAGTGTTGCTCATGAGTTCAAGGCCAGGACGAAACAGCCATAATGTATTATATGTAAACCTTCTTCAAATATGATAGTATTACAGTTAAGAAAAAAACACTCACGACCCATTAGCCTACGTAAAACTCTTTGATGTTTGAAGCCATTACTGCTTGGTTCCTATCTCACCGAATGCTCCATTACCCAGTGGGATGTGCAGATACGTCCAGCTGACGAACTCCATATGACTTGAAACTTACTTCCTGGATTTCAAGTCAACGGAAAATAAAGTTTTTGATTGCCAACATTACCAACAAACTTACTTCCTACCCACTCTATACGAAAACTAATCAAATTTATTCAACAGCATGTAACGGCCTATATTTCGCATCTAATTTAGTCTGATAATAGTATTGAGATGGTCAGAAGTAATGAAGTTTTTATTTGTAACCTAATTTGAAGATAAAAATTTCTTTTTCTACTGAAATAATCATTTGTTCTTTCATTCTCTATGGTTTTGTGATTATTGCTTTGAAAAATTTCTCCTGTCAAACTGACCTGAAATCCAATAAAACACTTTCTTCTAAAACCAGCTACATATAGAAATAAATCAGACTGATTTGGAATTTTCAGTGATACATAGGCAATTGTCATTACTAGATAATATTCTTGAAATCAGTGTGTTAGGAAAATTCGTGTTTACGTATGGTGCAATAGACGAATAACATGAAAAAGTGGATATGCTGCAAATGAATATATATTTTGAAGTTAAAGAGAATTTTATTTTTAAGGTAGTATTCATCAAGGACTGACATCAGTTGAAGAACCAGTGAAAACTCGAGAGCACTGGACAACTGTTTCTTCCTAGTACGGGACTCCTCAGCAGTATGCACCCATGACCCTGCCAAGGATTCAGCTCAGGACCTCCAGTCATCAGCAGAGTTTTTTTGCTTGATATAACAAAATTCATCACGACCAAGATGCTTAATGTTAATCGGTGATTGTTAGACACGAGACAATGTGACTTTCGAACACTCAAAGGTCTAAAGTAAAATTACTGAGGCTTATCATCTAAGCGGTTAGGACGAATGTCGACTACACCAGCGCACGTTGAAAAATTGCTGCGTTTTGTTGGTTGCCTTAACAACAGAGATTTACTCATTACTTTAAGCATGCATTAGATCGACCTGACTGTCATTCGCTTACCACTTGACGTCACCAGGAATCGAATGGTCATTCGGTTTTGGTATATGTGCTAGGATTAACAAAACAGAGACACTAGATTGTGAAAGGTATTGCAGCTGTTAGGAGAGTACTAGTTCGATGCAAAGCTAAGGGAGCAGAACCTTTGGAACAGTTGATGTCAGACTTACCAGTAGATAGTGTACCGTAGGATTTCCCGTTTGCTGTAATAGTCGTGAACTACTTCGGCCCCCTTCTACATCAGAGAATGTCATACAAATAAAAGTCTCATATACTTTGTCAGGTTTATAAACAGACACCGATATCCAAAGAACATTTATGGTGGTTTAAGGAGGAGTTTTGTCAGAGCAAAACTAAACTGCATTAATTTTTGAGGAGTATGAAGTAAAATGAGGTCAAAGACTAAATGATGTACGAAGATACCATGCGGCAGTTCAACCCCCCTTATTCTAGTCATAGGGTGGAGTGTTGGGACAAATTATAAATTCCACTTTTCGAAAACTGAGCATGCTTTCGTGCTCATTGTTGATTTGGCATGGGTAGAAAGAATTTAGAATGCTCAGCTGTTAGCATCACTTTATGATGACATGGAAGGACTAAGCATTATGTCACCACGTCGCAGGCAGTAGTAACCATTTTGACTTACACGAACACTACACTCGATACTGACAACAACAGCAGATGCTAGCAGACATTTTTTGGAAAAGATGGATCCAATAATATTTGCTAAAATACAAGCGTATCGCTTCGACCAGGTTCTAGTAACCTCCATTTTAGATTTAACATAGAGACTGATATTATATCAAACCATATATATATATATTGCGCATGTGACCTAAGTTCTGGAGGTATTCGAAAATCGACGGTCGAAGAAATCAGACAATAATATTACAGAACAGAATTCATTCTCATATAATACTTAAAACTGCAAGGGTGTCAGTATCGCTATTAACCATGTAGTTTATCCCCTGACAAATTATTTATTTGTTACTTAATGTCATTCGCATTTTACTCGTCAGCTGAGACATTATAAACTTTTGGGAATGAGTAGCAATTTTACCGTTATAGCCTGTAAGTACTCGTCGTTGACTGGACCGAGTTGATGGGCCACTATTGGTACATATGATGAAGCCTCGGTATTGCCGGTATCTTCAGTTTTCATATTGATGATGGAAGGTAGATGGTAGTGGAAATTAGAACGGGGACTACAACATCAAAACCATGCTACAGCCGTCACACAAGGAGTGGCTGTCATGACTGGGTGGTCCAGTGGATAATGCTGTGGGGTTTGAAGCGGTTGGTCCTGTGTTCCGGTCTCAGTGCGGATAGCATTACCCACTGGTAAGTAGATATATCCACTTGACGAGTCCCAAATAGGATGAAATTCATGTCCACTGCTAATTAATATCCATCATTATTGTGAGTAATAATCTCTGAAGTTTTTCAGAGAAAACTATGTCCAAATAAAATTTCCCACTTACCAAGTGTATAACCCAGTTTCGAATTCATACACTGATTGAGTATGTTATCGGATTGAATTTTGTCCAATTCATCTTGATTGGTTTTTTGACTTTTTATATTTAGATGCTGATTAAATCGATACTGACGATTTTGAACTGTAGGACTACCGGTGTTACTAGTGGTGTTGTGTTTATATGATTTGTCAGTTTCTTCCAGCTCATTAGGAAACATTTTTTCAATTGGACACTGTTGTAGACTTGTTGCGGATTGCTGTCTATGATATTGGTGTGATTTGTGCGTTAACTGACTATGCGTAAAGGACGACAGCGATGATGTATTATCAGACAACTTCTTTGTATCTTCATTCGAATGAACTCTTTCATCAGGATCTTCATTCCGTACTGTCCTAAGTTGTCCATCAGGTTTCGTACACTTACTGATAAGGTTTTCATCAAAACTTTTTCTGAAAGACTTTTTATGCTGCTGATGTTGATGGTGGTAGTGGTGTTGCTGACCATCATTCTGATAGTCATGTAGAGCAGAGCTGTCTGAGCTATCCTTAATTTCAATCCCCGGTGTTAATGGGTACGCATCCATCTTTTGTATTCTTAATATTATGATATCTTCATCTGGGGATTGTAGGAGTTGTATGGCCTCGGAAAGACTACATGATGACAAATGAACACCATTTACTGCTAGCAATATATCACCTGGGTTAATTGAACCACTTCGACTTGCAACACTGCCAGGTATAACTTTACTGATTAGTAGCGGTTGTCCATCTGTCTTATTGATTGATGCTGATGCAAACAGAGTTAATAAAAGTGATGAAACACTATTGCATATAAAGTGAGTAGTTAGTGTGATTAAATTATTTTGAACTTATTTTTGACGCGAACAACAGCTTCATGAACAATTCACTTTGATTACCGACATCATGAGATACGCTTATTTTTACTGCGAGTAGCTTTCCCGAGTTTCCATTCTCACTGTTGTTGCAAATTAATGCTGCTTTCTTCTTAAGTTTAGGTTTTCTAGTTAGAAGTGGTTTGTCATAGCTAGGTACCTATGAGTTGCAAAATGAAACCTGATCATGTCTCTTGCCACTAGCAATAAACGAATCTGCAGTCCTGATGTGTTGAGAAAGAAAATTTTTGCCGTAAGGAATATTCTGGTTGAAAATAGATCCCCACAAGGCTCCGTGAACACAAAGATCGAGCCAAGACCTCCCAAAGCGAACCCTACCACCATCCTAGAAAAGATACTTTATATAAATCTAAATTTCAAAAGTGGTTCCTCCACTGGCACTCTAAAGAGGTGGACATCGAACTATTTATGAAGAACGTTCTTTGAGTCAACGCTGAAAGTAGTATTCTCCTGTCCGCCAATGATTTGTAACAACCTGAAGGACAAACCTTCACACTTGACCACTTCTGTGTGTGCATATCCATTCAACTGCTTTTGTGAAGGTCATTCGATGCAACTATCATCAGAAAAGGTTAAGGAGTACTATCCCAAGTGGTTACAATGAGGTAACAATGGGTAGATAAGAAGTGCTATAATTGAAACTGTCGTGAACACGAATCACTGTATCTCAGGACGTCCTCATTCATTGTCTAACAAAGTCAAAAGAAAACTTTCACAGGCTGTATATTTTTATATTTTATGCATCACTGAAGCAGTCACCTTCCATATGTAGAAACCTGAGCTTTGTAAGTGACAGGAAATTGTTCAACTTCTCCTTTCATGATCTCAGTTTTCAGTCTTTGAATTTTCCCTTTTCTGTTTGCACTATACAACTTCTATGTAATTTACAATTCATCCTTGTTTCTATGTTCCTTCTGATCACGACACAGTTTCCAAATATTTTAGCGTCTTAAGAAACTTGTTGCAAGTTATGATTCTTTATACAACCTTGATTAATCTTTATTCTTTACAGTGTTTTTATATGATTTCAATGACGGTTCATGTATTGAGACTATTTTTTCTGCCCTACTTAGCAAACCACTTCTAACTATCAAATCCTAACACAAGTAGAATGTATACATTTGCGATTGTGCAGTTTTAAGGATGAAATCACCTAGAAGAGACTGTCTTCAGAAATACTCGTTCTTCTTTCATATCTTGATGGATATTCTTTCGCACAGTTATTTTTCAACATTCAGGAAAAGGTCTGTATGTTAGTTAGCTTATATTTCAGTAGACCTATTGAAAGTCAAATAGTTATCTCTTCCACATGCTTGGCAATCCAAGCCACTTTAGCAACTACTTTGGTTATTAATTGTCAGAATATACGGTCTTATGGTGAAGTACCTTAGAGAACGAACTAGTCATAAGTATCAACAATTCATTTCATAAGCATTGCAGAAACTTACCGTAATAACAGGTAATTTTCTAATAATTAACTAAACAGATCAAAAGATCACCTACCTTGATTTCAGTATAAGCTAACTAATTCTTATCAGAAGTTGGCCAATCACTTAAAAGTTATTTTATTCTCAGGCTCGTTTCTAAATTTCTAAAACAAAAACTCATGTTCTCGAAAAGGTGAACATCGTTAATGTAGCCACTACAGTTCATGAAGCAATGAAGATTTTTTCCCATTCTGTCACTTTTTTTAAAGGGATATGCATGATGTCTTCATCACTGGAACTTTAGTACTTAGTTCTTGAGATGATAGTGCTTTGTTTAAAAAGAGGTGGACCATGAAAAGTAAGTCAATAAACTGAACTGTAATCACTTCAAGAAGAGGTTGAATTTGACTCTGAGAACTGATTTTCATATTGTTGATCTAATAAAGTATCTATCCATTTATCTGTCAATCGACAAGGCCTAATATACTTTTTTATTTACAGTAAATTTCAAATAGGCACACAAGATGGTACAGTTTACCATTAAAATAAAGTTTGAGAGAGAAAATTTTAGCTCACCTTGTAAGTTGATACCTAAACTTGCTGATTTTCTTATCAGTTTAACATCAAAAATACCTGTTGCAGGAACAACCGAGTCAGCTACAGTATATTGTATCAAAAGTGTGAGGGACTGAACACGAAAGTATTTCTTTTCAAAATCACCTGGTTCCAGATATCTTTGAATGAGTTCATCAATAGTTCTGTTCAATGTGGACTGACCATTGATGCATATCACTCGATCCCCTTCTTGAATTACACCCGATCTGTAAATTGAATTGTGAAAATTTTAGGTATCATTCAACGTAGATGTTTTCTGTTAATAAGATATTCAGTGTCCTAGTACTGTCTCTAGCCTAACCCACTACAGTATACCGAGAGCATTAGAGAAGATAATTCTAACCTTTAATGTCCATTTTGCTCAGTGTCGCAAATACGGATATTACGAGAAGGCTCATGATATGTAGCATACAATTCAGGGGAAATTATCAGGGAGTTTGGATGTTTGCATATTATGAATTTACTGTGCTTCGTTACAGAGCTAAGGATGCGTTTCCGTTCTCCCCTTGTCGTCCAAGTTGGATAGTGCTTGTGAGCAAGTTGCATTAGCTGGTACATCCTATAAATAGTCTTCTTAGTGTCGTGAAAAACGAAATTTTTGCTAGAAATGAACTGTAATAACATAAGAAGTAAGTTATTTAAACACTTACAAATAAAAAGAGTACGGCAAATAAGTGTATCTCAGAGTGTTGATGTTCAGAGTAAATTTTCCTATTAGTTAGCGTCTCATCTGGTAAATATTTAAACGTCATACTTGACACCACAATTAGAGTAGAAATAAGAAAAAGTTAGATAAAACTGAAGGATAGAAATGTTCATCTTAATATAGTTGATTGTCAGAGGAGACAGAGCTACTGTGAAAAGAAATGGAAAGGCCAAAAGTGTATTGCGTAATACCATCCAGCTTCAAGGCTAGTTTTGGTGTATTGGACTACATTTTTTGTGCAAAGTCCATAGCATATAAGTCCCTTTCTTTCATGCTCCTAAGCATGACATATTTACAATTATGCTCAAGGATATCAAAGAAGTGAACCCTCTAGTATCTCATCAAATTTTCGGATGTTTTAATTATTTCTTTAGCCGAACAGAACAAAATATCGCAAATAAGATTGTACTTACAACCTAGTCCACTGAAGCAGTTACTATTGAATATGAAATAGGCCTAATTTGCACTTTCAAAGGCAAATACTTGTCATTACTGTTTCCCATTACAGGTTTTGAAGTTTTAGCTTACATGCATTCCTATTTGGTTTAATTTAAATTCAGTATTATTGTTAGGATTATAAACACTTATTCCCTACAGTTATCAATGGAGCAGTGATGACAATTATTTCAAGCAAGGTGATTTTTCTGCGATCATTCTAACATTTGGTAGTTGTTATGAGAACCTGATTTGAATACCCTTTCTTATTTACATGTCAAGAAAGATTCGAGTAAGTGGCATAATATCAGTAGATAACATCCATAAAAAGGCTAATAGTGGAGAATTATGTATATATGGCTAAGTATGAATGCATAATAAATTTCCATTGTCCTCAGAAAGTCGGGTGTACTCAGAATATTTCTAGCCAGCCTTAAATCAACATGGTTTGGCTATGGGGAATTAGTAAGTTTCTCTAAGCATTCAAGTGTAAGCAGAAACATACACCAGAGTTTAAATAATAGTAGCTATAAAAAGCAAGGAAAGAAACTATTCCATAGATTCTCATCCACTTTGGAAACAAACAGTAAATACGTGACATTTTCTGTTCTTGCTCCTTTATATTGAAAGTCAGCGTGTAAATTAAATATCTTTCTTATTACTTTGACAGAATGCTAACCATGTTTCGAGACTCACAAGCCGAGATTGACTGGTAATTTTTCCGCTGTGAGGACTTCAACTTATTTCTTTATTGATATCAGGTGTGGTAGATAATATCAACATAGGATCTGGTGTTACTGCTTAGTAATCCATGTTGCCACACTTCATGTCAGCGCATTGAGGTAGAAGCCACCAAGGTGAAATATGGAAAAATAAAGAAGGAAGTGGTCAAAGTTGTTAAAAGAAAACAAGAAGAAGCGGACTAATAATGGGACTAGGAATGTCGATTAAAATGAAGATAATGTGTGAATCCATCTGTACTGCTGCGATTTCTTCCGAGCCATATCACCTAGAATCTCCAACCACTGATCCAGGTTGTCAGGATGACTACAGCGGGGAAGTTTACATTTCCCTACTCGGCTCAGAACAACCGTCAAAGACTTCGTGGACTGGTGCCTTGTCTTTGTTTGACCAAACGTAGCTGGGCATCAGTAACACATGTTCCTGTCATTTGAGTAGATGAAGGTTGCAGGCTTCAGGAAGTACAAATCATGTGCAGACCAAATTGCAACGCTTCGCATCATCATAGAACAGAGCATAGAATGGCAATCAGCTCTCTACCTCAACTTCATCGACTTTGAGAAGGCCTTTGACAGCGTCGACCGAGAAGTAATTTGGAAACTGCTTCAATACTACGGAGTACCGCAAACCTTTATCCGCCTCATCCAACAACTATATGAAGATGCCACATGCCAAGTAATTCACAATGGGAAGCTCAGTGATACTTTTGAAGTGAAGACAGGAGTGAAACAAGGTTGCCTACTATCCCCCATGATATTCCTGATTGTGGTGGACTGGATCATGCAGCAAACAGTAGGCAGCGAGAAGAGGGGGATACGCTGGACGACGGAAAAGAACCTAGAAGACTTGGATTTCGCCGATGACTTGTGCCTGATGTCACATAAACTTGAAGATCTGCAGGCAAAAACTAACAAGTTGATAGAAGAGGCAGGGCAGCGAAGACGGGACTTCAGGTGAATATAGAGAAGACAGAAGAGATGAAGATACCGCACCACCACCATCAACAACAACAACAACAACAAACTCCAGTCACCATCAACGGGAGAAACTTAAAGGAAGTAGCCTCCTTCACCTATCTAGGAAGCACTGTTTCAACTACAGGCGGGACGGACGAGGACGTCAAAGTCAGAATCGGAAAAGCAAGACAGGCGTTCAATAACCTGAAACCAGTGTGGAGATCTTCTGCACTCAACATGTGGAACAAGATCCGGATTTTCAACACCAACGTCAAGTCAGTGCTTTTGTATGGCTCAAAGACTTGGCGCGTCACGAAAGGCATTTCCAATAAACTACAGACATTCATCAACAACTGTCTACGCTCGCTACTGAAGATCAGATGGCCAGAAAGAATAAGCAACAAGGAGCTCTGAGAACGAACCAACCAAGAACCTATCGCTCAACAAATATGCAGAAGGAAGTGGAGATGGATTAGGCATACACTGAGAAGGCCGACTGGGGACATCACGCGCCAAGCCGTTGAGTGGAACCCAGATGGGAAGCGACGAGTTGGGCCTCCAAGGTGAGGGTGACATGGAGGAGGTCGTGCGAGGAGGAAATGAGAGCTTCTGGGCTGTCGTGGAACCAGGTTCAAAAGATCTCGGAGAACAGGATGAAATGGAGACGTGCTACTGAAGCCCTATGTTCCACTAGGAACCCAAGGGACTAATAATAATAATAATAATTCAGAAGTTTAAACCAGAACTTTGTGTCCAGAAAAAGTAATATAAGGTAAGTAACATACCTCAACTTGGTTAAGAATAATAGCCGAAACAAAACTGTCTGACACTTCCTAAAGCTGCAGAATTGATAGCTAACAATCTGTGCGAGAACAACTGTTTAAACCTCAGGTGTATGGTTCGAATATTAGATCTGGAAGCAGTATAGTAACCTTCAAAAGTCACCAATTAAGTATTTTCATTTTGTGAAGAGCTAGCCTTCCAGCCAAAATATATAAGATATCTAATTGATCAGTTTGGTATTCCTCATGACGACCTTACAGTCACCCCAAGCATACTGAAAAAATAATCCACTCCATATGCATATGCATAAAGTTCCTCTCTTATACTTCGAATCGAAACTGCAACCACATATCTCTAGCATGAAGGGATTAGATTTGAAACAGGTTCTCTATTGTAGGAAATGTATCTGGAATATATGCTAAGCGCCATCTAGTGCTGCTACTAATACATCTAATTTTTAGCTGACAAAGGAACATTTATGGTAAAATTTCAATACATGGACTTGTGAGCGGCAGGTCTAAAGACCATTTCAGGACAGAGTGATTTTCCACGTTAGTATATGCATTCGTCAGTCGTATAACTATAATGTTTGCGTATCAGGGGTGAGAACTACTAGTTATCTTGTTACTGCTTGCATCTAAACTATAAATTAAATGAAATTCGCTATGCACAATAGGTTTGACATAGCTGGTGGACACATAAATAAATGTGTTCCACTAGACGCCTTATGGTCAGTTTACCTTGAACTAAAATGATTTTGAATATCGTTTTGATACACACTGACACGTTAAAGGACAGCGATACAAAAACTAAACTAATGTGTTATCACTCTCATTTTTCTGGTACCATTTCGGAACCTAAATTTATAATCGAGGATTTATCACACTGAAACTAGAAATACTTTTCAACTAAACGCTACAGATGTTAGGAGATACGTAAACGCTAGGAACAAGTCCATGGCAGTGACTTAAAAGTAGTAAACAACGTTTTCAAACTCCTTTTGCACAAGGCGTCAAAGATCACTTCTAGAAGCTGTTCCAAAATATGAATTTCACAAATAAGAAGTGTAATCGACTGACTTTTACGAAATAGGAATGCACAGATAGCAATATCTTTAATAAGGACTATTGAATGTCCTGTAAAAACGAAAACTGCTGCGACATAAATTTTCATTTTATCTTCAGTCATCACACACTATCAATAATAAGAGCCTACCAAACCACTGGTGTCTCAGATAGTTACACTAAAACTTATTCTATTTGACTTTTTCTGTGTTCACTGGTAATATTAACATCTATTACTAGCGTACCTTGACTATTACTCGTGTGTTGGTGATTAACATGTGGTCAAAACAAAATAACTATTCACTTCACTGTAAAATGATAGAAATTGATGTTGACAGATTTTTCCTTTAAACACTCAATCCCTGTCACCTGCAAAGAAAAGCAAATGTAGATTTATTAGTCTGCACAAACTGACGTGAATTAACGCCACAAATCACCTAATGACAATTTTAGCTTCCAACAAAATATATGGTGCTTTTAAAAGCTTTGATCATAACTGGAAGCGATCCACTCGGCGTTTT